CCCCCCCCCCCCCCCCCCCCCCCCGCCAGGCGAAGATTCCCTTTACACTATTGCTCGGGGTGCAGCGCATTGTCCGTCGCTTACCAGCGGTGTCGGCTCCGCAGGGGCCCCCGTAGCGTCAGGGGAAGGCGTCCCCCCGGAGGGCGTGAACACGTTCGAAGGGGGCTCCGTGGTGCTCACACCAGGCGCGCCGCCGGCCGCGGGCGCCAGCGTCGTGGCGGGGGAACGCGTCTCGCCGGCGGGAACGAGTCGTGGCGGGGGGACGCGTCTCGCCGGCGGGAAGGGGGGCAAATGTTGAGGTTTGTAGGGGATCCTGGGCGATGGGGCTCACAGTCGTGGCCGGGGAATGCGTCTCGCCTGCTGGGAGCGGGGATAACGTTGGGGTCGGTAGGGGTTCCACGTCAACGGGGCTCACAGTCGTGGCCGGGGAATGTGTCTCGCCTGCTGGGAGCGGAGATAACGTTGGGGTGGGTAGAGGTTCCACGGCAACGGGGCTCACAGTCGTGGCCGGGGAATGTGTCTCGCCTGCTGGGAGCGGGGACAGCGTTGGGGTGGGTAGCGGTTCCACGGCAACGGGGCTCACAGTCGTGGCCGGGGAATGTGTCTCGCCTGCTGGGAGCGGGGACAGCGTTGGGGTGGGTAGGGGTTCCACGGCAACGGGGCTCACAGTCGTGGCCGGGGAATGTGTCTCGCCTGCTGGGAGCGGGGACAACGTTGGGGTCGGTAGGGGTTCCACGGCAACGGGGCTCACAGTCGTGCCTGGGGAATGTGTCCCGCCTGCTAGGAGGGGGGACAACGTTGGGGTCGGTAGGGGTTCCACGGCAACGGGGCTCACAGTCGTGCCTGGGGAATGTGTCCCGCCTGCTAGGAGGGGGGACAACGTTGGGGTCGGTAGGGGTTCCACGGCAACGGGGCTCACAGTCGTGCCTGGGGAATGTGTCTCGCCTGCTGGGAGGGGGGGCAACGTTGGGGTCGGTAGGGGTTCCACGTCAACGGGGCTCACAGTCGTGCCTGGGGAATGTGTCTCGCCTGCTAGGAGGGGGGACAACGTTGGCGTCGGTAGGGGTTCCACGGCAACGGGGCTCACAGTCGTGCCTGGGGAATGTGTCTCGCCTGCTGGGAGCGGGGACAGCGTTGGGGTAGGTAGCGGTTCCACGGCAATGGGGCTCACAGTCGTGCCTGGGGAATGTGTCTCGCCAACTGGGAGCGGGGATAACGTTGGGGTCGGTAGAGGTTGCACGTCAACGGGGCTCACAGTCGTGCCTGGGGAATGTGTCTCGCCTGCTGGGAGCGGGGATAACGTTGGGGTCGGTAGAGGTTGCACGTCAACGGGGCTCACAGTCGTGCCTGGGGAATGTGTCTCGCCTGCTGGAACGGGAGAAAGCGTGGCGATGGTTTCAGCGGCTATGACCGGGGAAGCAGTTACAACGGCTCCAGGCTGTTCAGTTGTGGTTGCTGCTGGAGGGATAGATGCGGTTGGGGTTCGGGTAGTCCCGGGGTCGAGAGGGGTGAGCGTTTCGGCAGCTACACCTGGGGCAGAAGTCGACGACACAGCGGCTCCAGGCTGTTCGGTAGTGGTAGCTGCTGGAGGGATAGGAACGATTGAAGGTTCGGTGGTTCCAGCAGGAAGGGGGGTAGCGGTTACAGCGGCTATACCAGGGGCAGAAGTCAACGACACGACGGCTCCAGGCTGTTCGGTAGTGGTAGCTGCTGGAGGGATAGAAACGATCGAAGGTTCCGTGGTTCCAGCAGGAAGCGGGGTGGGGGTTACAGCGGCTATACCAGGGGCAGAAGTCAACGACACAGCGGCTCCAGGCTGTTCTGTAGTGGTTGCTGCTGGAGGGATAGGAACGATTGAAGGTTCGGTGGTTCCAGCAGGAAGGGGGGTAGCGGTTACAGCGGCTATACCAGGGGCAGAAGTCAACGACACAGCGGCTCCAGGCTGTTCTGTAGTGGTTGCTGCTGGAGGGATAGGAACGATTGAAGGTTCGGTGGTTCCAGCAGGAAGCGGGGTGGGGGTTACAGCGGCTATACCAGGGGCAGAAGTCAACGACACAGCGGCTCCAGGCTGTTCTGTAGTGGTTGCTGCTGGAGGGATAGAAACGATTGAAGGTTCGGTGGTTCCAGCAGGAAGCGGGGTGGGGGTTACAGCGGCTATACCAGGGGCAGAAGTCAATGACACAGCGGCTCCAGGCTGTTCTGTAGTGGTTGCTGCTGGAGGGATAGAAACGATTGAAGGTTCGGTGGTTCCAGCAGGAAGCGGGGTGGGGGTTACAGCGGCTATACCAGGGGCAGAAGTCAATGACACAGCGGCTCCAGGCTGTTCTGTAGTGGTTGCTGCTGGAGGGATAGAAACGATTGAAGGTTCGGTGGTTCCAGCAGGAAGCGGGGTGGGGGTTACAGCGGCTATACCAGGGGCAGAAGTCGACGACACAGCGGCTCCAGGCTGTTCGGTAGTGGTAGCTGCTGGAGGGATAGAAACGATTGAAGGTTCGGTGGTTCCAGCAGGAAGCGGGGTGGGGGTTACAGCGGCTATACCAGGGGCAGAAGTCAATGACACAGCGGCTCCAGGCTGTTCTGTAGTGGTTGCTGCTGGAGGGATAGAAACGATTGAAGGTTCGGTGGTTCCAGCAGGAAGCGGGGTGGGGGTTACAGCGGCTATACCAGGGGCAGAAGTCGACGACACAGCGGCTCCAGGCTGTTCGGTAGTGGTAGCTGCTGGAGGGATAGAAACGATTGAAGGTTCGGTGGTTCCAGCAGGAAGCGGGGTGGGGGTTACAGCGGCTATACCAGGGGCAGAAGTCAATGACACAGCGGCTCCAGGCTGTTCTGTAGTGGTTGCTGCTGGAGGGATAGAAACGATTGAAGGTTCGGTGGTTCCAGCAGGAAGCGGGGTGGGGGTTACAGCGGCTATACCAGGGGCAGAAGTCGACGACACAGCGGCTCCAGGCTGTTCGGTAGTGGTAGCTGCTGGAGGGATAGAAAAGATCGAAGGTTCCGTGGTTCCAGCAGGAAGCGGGGTAGCGGTTACAGCGGCTATACCAGGGGCAGAAGTCAACGACACAGCGGCTCCAGGCTGTTCGGTAGTGGTAGCTGCTGGAGGGACAGAAACGATTGAAGGTTCCGTGGTTCCAGCAGGAAGCGGGGTGGGGGTTACAGCGGCTATACCAGGGGCAGAAGTCAACGACACAGCGGCTCCAGGCTGTTCGGTAGTGGTAGCTGCTGGAGGGATAGAAACGATTGGAGGTTCCGTGGTTCCAACAGGAAGGAGGTTGATGTCAGCGTGAAATAAAAAACGGGGTCATTGGCCTAGTGGTCTCAGGCTTGGTGGTCTTTGGGGTGGCTGCTTCTGCTGCTGTTGCTGGAAGGAGGGATGCAATCAGACATGGGCGTGGTTCCGGCTACTCAGCGCGTAAAGAGGTCAGCGGCGTAGAGCTCCTGGAAACGCGGCTGTTTGCGGGTTCATCGTACAGCGGTACCTGCACCGACATCGATGGTAAATACGTGTGGTGAGGGGGGCGGGAAGGCGGGCACCAACCCTGCAAGAGAATGAAGATACTATCCACAAAGTCGCTGTGTTTGGCTCGCAGTGTGGGCTGAGGCCAACTTTTAAGACCCGATCGGTTGAGGGGCGGGCTGTGCGAGTAAAAACCACACAAGACAGTCAGATAGAAAAAAAAAAAAACGTTCGGCCGAGAGTTTGGGAATGGGTGCATGTTTCGCTGCTCCATGCCCGGTGCAAGATCGTACACAGATCTTGCGAATATTTCTGTAGGATCGTTTCGGTTCGCCGGGCTCTTCGAGTCAAAACACGTCAGCTGCGTCGGCTAGGGGAACGTCGCAACAACCTGGCAGCTCGCAGCCACCAGTGGACAGGTCCTGCTGCCTGCGTTTATTTTCATCTTGCGTCACCCCTCAGTGACACAGTGCTCTCAACGGATGGATCGATCCCGTGTCTGCTCTCAGCTACAAGTAGCATCCGGAGCGTGCCATATGGCGATTTCTTTTTTTTGGCCTTTTTAAGCTGGGGAATAGATCGAAAGGGTCCAAAGAGTGCTATAATAGAAGACGGCGGGGTCGCGCGGAACGCTTCAGGTTGGGAAGATGACGGGCGACTGCTGTTGGTAGGGGTCTATTGGCACCCGGGATTTCGTTGGTACATCAGCAAATTGGGTCAAATATAAACAAAAGCACGGGAGAGAGAGAAAACGACCGCTGCTGCTGTGGTGACACCTCGAATGGGGAGTCTCTGCGTTCTTTTTGTACACGGTGGTTCTGCATAACGACGACCACCCACAGGCCGAGCACACAAAAACTAGGGAAACTTCCTTACCTGGTGCCACGCTGGTTCCTCCTCCTGCTGTCCCGGTGGCACTCGGCTCGGGCGTTCCGATCCCCGGGAGGGGGTCGGCGGTAGCCGAGGGTCCTACGGTCGCCGCAGGCGCCACGGAGCCGACACCCCGTGCCGATTCAGTCGGCCCCGGAGTTCCGACTACCACCCCGGAAGGGGGGCCAGCAGAAGGCGCAACCGTAGTAGGGGAGAGGGGCGCCGCGGTAGGTGTGGGGGGCTGCGTGGGAATCATCTGCGGGGCCGTGGAAGTCGAGGTGGGCGCGGGGGCTACTGACGGATTGGGGGTGTCGAGACCAATGGGTCCGGGGGTCGCAATACCTGCTGGTGGCAGGGTGTCGACGCTCGGTTGTGGGGTAGAGACCGCAGGAGGGGTCGTTATTGGAGGCGGCGTGGATAGCGTGGGGGGGATTGTTACCACCTCCGCGGGCGCCGGGGCAGGGG